ACTGCTAGGATGCCATGAGCTGGGGCAAGGATCGGAGTTCACCCTATCGTGCGGGTCTTGGGTCTCAAATTTCGGTTGCCAGCTTTCCAGCCAACAAGCCCAGTGCCTTAACCGTTGAGCGCAGGAAGAGAATATGGCAAAAAATGTGCTAGTTTTCCCAGGCTGAGCCTCACAGCTGCCATTTCAGTGACATGTTGGGGATATATCCCCAAAGGGACGGGTGGGGTACATGTGATTAGATTCTATTACTATTTAAATTGTATTAAAATGAAAGATTGTAGCCAGGATGGCTCCTGTCTGTGTTTGTGGGCTGTCTACTCATTGCAGTTTGCTAGCAACTTTTGAAGACCCTTGGGAACCCTACTCCAGGGTCGGTGTGGAGCCTGGAGGTGCAGCAGTCTCCTGTTGTGGACCCTCACAATATGCATGCTGCAAGCTAACTCGCTAAAAAGGGTTACGTAACTACTTTTCATTTGTGAAATGAGATGATTGGAGTTGTTCAGCCTTTGGGTGTTGCCAAGGGCCTGTCAGCTTGCCCTTGACAGATTTATTTGGACACCTGCTTGGATGCTACACACCCTGAGATTCTTCCTTAACAGAGGAATGGAAGAGGCAGAAGCATGAAGCTTGGTGGGGTTGACAGGTGTCTTCCTGTAGCTCTAAAAGGGGCTCAGCATTTCAGAACTTCAACACACCCTTCATAATCACACGGGAGATCTTCTTTACCTCCCCGCCCCAGCCTTAATCTAAAAATAAAAGAAGCTTGGGAAAAAACAGTGAGGATTGGAAGCGGTCCAAGCAGGTTCTAAAATCTGGCCATAATCAGGAAGTTGTCGTACTTTCCTTGGTGCAGGAATCAGCTCCTTTGTGGCCATAATAGCTGGATACCCCCAGTGGCATCCTAGACATGGTCTAGAGTTCTCAAGCAAAAAAATGGTTTTACCAGATGTATTGACCTATTTATTTTAGGAATTCTAGTGCAGAATTCTTTCATCTGGATGAACCTTGACTGTCATACTATAATTCCCATCTTCACCAGGTTGAGATGGCTTCTGTAGATACTTTGGAAGAACTGATGGCTGAACTGATGGCTGTTTCATGCTCGCACACGTTTTTAAAACCAAATCTCAGAAACCAAACGGTCTCCTTTTCCTGATAGCAAATTAAAATTAAAAGTAAGTTGAAAGTGGGATTCAAGTAAATGCTGTAGCAAATGAAGGTGAAGTTCAAAAAAACCCCCCATTGTTTTAATGGTTGATTTTTAAAATGTAATTTTTTAAAAAAATTCTGAAGTGAAAAATTTCACTGGTTTTTCTTGACACAATGTGGAACATTTCATAATGTTTCAAGGTGAAAGTTGAATCTGTGGGTTTAAACATCTATTTCTTAACATCCTGCTATGGAGAGATAATTGAAACAAGGAGAATTCAAGATTTGACTTGCTGCAATATTATTGGGATTAAGGAAAGCACTTAAAACCCAGTTATCTCAACGGGCTTCTGAGAGGGATTTTCCTTGCATCAGCATATATAATTATATGGGATTATGATTCCTTGACCTAGAAATAGAGTATTTTATTATGAATATCATTTATTGTTGGCTATTTTTTTGCTGTTTTAATTTTGTTTACCTACTATAATAAGGTTTTGTCTGAGACTCCTTAACTGTAGCCCAGTTTCTTTACCACACCAGTTTTCATGAGACTCATCAGATGAAATGTTCTAATGGAGAAACTCTCTCACTTTCGGTCTTGGTGTGTGTGTGTGTGTGTTTTCTGTGGGAGGGAAGTATCTGCCTCACACAAGAGGGGGAACCATAGACTCAATAAAGGGAAGATGTAAAATGTTTATGACATTTTGATTGAATGTGGATAGGATGGGACTATGTAGCATTTTTGGATTCAGGTGGAAAAAGGTGTGGAAAACGCGTTAAAATCTAGACGGCTTTTCCAGAGATTGCTCTGCAGCTACAAAGGGCAGCAAAGAATCCATAGAACATAGAATAACAGAGTTGGAAGGGACCTCAGAGATCTTCTAGTCTAACCCCCTGCTCAAGCAGGAGTACCTATACCATTTCAGACAAATGTTGGTCCAGTGATGGAGCACCCACAACTTCTGAAGGCAAGCTGTTCCACTGGTAATTTTTTCTGTCAGGAAATTTTTTCTTAGTTGTATGTTGCTTCTCTTCATGGTTAGTTTCCACCCATAGTTTCTCGTCTTGCCTTTTGGTGCTTTGGAGAACAGATTGACCCCCTCTTCTTTGTGGCAGCTCCTCAAATATTTGAACACTGCTATCATGTCTCCCTGTGTTTCTTTTCATTAGACTAGACATACTTGTCACCGTATGTTTTAGCCTCCAGCCCCCAAATCCAGGAAGATTGGCTTGGCTTAAAGAGCTGTCGAGAGGAGCGATGTGAATTTTCCACTCGTCTGGAACCACATTTCCCCCTTTAAATCTGAAGCATGTGTCAGCCCTGAGATTTAGTGTATGGAATTTTCTGGGTATGAAGATAGCTGTTTCCAAAATACCGCAGAACAAGAGCAGAGAGATTTTTGTGGTAACAAACAAGAGATTTGCATCTTCCCCAATAAACTAAGGGTCAATTAGAAAAATGAGCGCCAATAGGGAAACCTCACCTTGTGCGTTGATAAATGAGGGCTTAAAGTACAGATAGTCCTTGACTTATAACCCATTTGTTTAGTGACTGTTCCAGGTTACAGTGGCACTGGAAAAAGTGACTTATGACTGGTCTTTGAACTTACGGCCTTCGCAGCCTCCCCACAGTCACAGGATTAAAATTTGGGCAGTTGGAAACCACCAAGCATTTATGACTGTTGCAGCATGCCAAGATCAATGTGATCACCATCTGCAATCTTCCTAGCTGGCTTCCGACAAGCAACATTAATGGGGGAAACTGGATTTGCTGAACGACCAAATGATTATTTAACAACTGCAGTGATTCACTTAACAACTATGGCCAAAAGGGTCCTAAAATCATACGCAACTCACTTAAACAATCACCTCACTTAGCAATGGAAATTCTGATCCCGGTTGTGGGTTGTAAATCAAGAGAATACCCGTATTCATATGGTATGCTTGTCTCTACAACTGTATAGTCTAACCCTTTTGTCATGGTAGTAAACTTTCTTACTCTGAATCTTTGGGAATGTCACTAACTGGGCCGTCAGTCACTGTAAGAGCTTGGCAGTTGGTTACTAGACGATTGTTCTATCTCACAGATCATTCTAGATTTTGCTCTGAATTCTGTTTCCATCCTCTCTGAGAATTGTAGGGAAGGGCGTTTTTATTTTTCCACGTCTGTGAGATCTCAGCCAACAATTAACAAGGAGAGGAAGAAATAAGTTCTTAGCATGCCATTCGGGAGCCAAGCGCGATCTTCAGGATGAGATAAAAGAGTATATAGAAAGGTGTGGGTATAAGAAGATTATAGCAGGTTAGAAAAACACACTCTGAGATGGCACATTTGTATCTGAACTGTACTATTGTGGCTCCCACATTTAATAGTCCTCTTATAAAAGACTGATAATTCTTATTAATAATAATAATAATAATAATAATAACAACAACAACAACAACAACAACAACCTCTGCAGAATCAGGAAGCAGACTGTGCTGGAGTCTACTTCTCTGGCTTGGTGACTTTTCTTAGTAGGTGGATTTTTATAATCTTTTATACAGTCCCAACTTGTAGCTTAAAGTGTGACAACACAAATACAGATTGATTGCTGCAGTTCCAGTACAGGGTTGGATGAAAAAGGATTCTGTGTCAGAGGCTAGAGTTTAAAGATATGCCTTGTTTGGAAGCTATTGATCCAGACTCTGGAAAAAGCATAACTGGCCCGACACAAAAATGAGCGGGTTTTAATGTTACCCGCTAGGGTTGGAAAACTTTGAATAAAATTGGCACCTTCCGTGGCATCTGTCAAGACTCTCTGTATAAATGGGGCAGAATATCCTCCCCTGAATGTAACGGTGGTGCTCCTTGCCAGACACTGGGTCCTACAATGATTATCTGTCATTTGAGAGCTTATACAGGAAGAAAAGCAGATTTTTCTCCAACTAACAAATGCCGTGCTTAATTAGATAAATGGCCTAGATCAGTGATGGCGAACCTTTCAGAGACCGAGTGCCCAAACTGCAACCCAAAACCCACTTATGCATCAGCGGGTGCCAGGTGGGTGTGGCCCATTGGGTGGGTGTGGCCCATTGGGTGGGCGTGGCTGCAGTGGTAACGGCAGACTGGGTGGGACTAAAAAGTTCAATCAATTCCAACTTTGCAAGATCCTTTTTTTTTCCGCGAGAAGTTGAAATTGACTGATTGATTGAACCTTTTTTTTTTTTGCACACAGCGGCGGAGGCCTAAAGCAAAAAGGTTTTATAAAACCCAGCTGAAGGCCTAGGACTGGGGCGATGGCGCGCGTGCCCGCAGAGAGGGCTCTGAGTGCCGCCTCTGGCACCCGTGCCGTAGGTTCGCCACCACTGCCCTAGATATTAAATGTCTGTGGAGATTCTCAGTCATCCAGGTGATGGTTGTCCCAAAGGTGCTTTGTCAAAAGATAACTGGACTTTCTTAGTTTTTCCTTGAAGAAACTTCATCCAAGGAGTTCTGAACTGAAGGAGCTTCTTGGATGAGAAGCGAAACATCCTCAAGGGAAAAATAAAGTCCAGTTGCCGTTTGAAAAAACACCTTTGGGTCTAGATATTAATATACACAACACTGATTTCATACGTATGAACCAACGTATTTTAAAATGTAATTTGTAACTTAGTTTATAAATTCTTGAATCTTTTATACCTTACAAAATTGACCACACGTCTCCATATTACGTGTGAATTATTATTATTATGCGTTCTTTCCATACAGCTGCTATCCTTGTATTTTATGCCATATGCTAAATAAAATACTGTTGAACTGCTGATTTTCTTTTCTATAGGAAACATATCTTAATCACCTCTCTGTTTCTCTCTCCTCCGTGCAGCATCTCTAGAAGATCAGTTTGTCTCCAAAGAGTTGGAGGAGACATCAGCTTTGGCAGAGGATGAATTACAGACTGACTCAGCAATCGTGGAAGCCAGTGCTCCATTTACATCAAAAGCCCACCTTGGAATTGATCAGGGTTCATCCCTGTCTTCTTCTGCATTAGATGCTACACCATCTACGGAGGAGAATATTGGTTCAGCGAGACTCAATCCAGACCATACTTCAGACACACTATTCCAAGAGGAGCAAAGGGAAATTTTGAAGGAAAGCCAAGTGACGCCCGTCCGGGAACCTTCAGAGGTCAAGTCAAGTGTTGAGAACATTGCAAATAACAAAAGCAAGCTCCCCAGGGCAAAACCAATTGCTCTTCAAAAAAAGATGGGGGGACAGACTCCCGAGACTGAAGTGACCACAGAAAGCCCCCCTATTCCCAAAGCTACCTACCGCTTTGATCCAGAGGAATACGACGAGACCGTGAACCCATTTACGATGGGAGGCTCCAAATGTCCAAACTCGCCCCCGGCATCTCAGCCAGGTGCTGATCTTCCAAATAGTGACCCTAAGCATCCCAGCTCAGCAGGAGCTGGAGATTGCAAGACCCGGGCCCTGAAACTAGAGTTTGATTTTGCCGAAGGAGCGGAAAACGTTGAGCCCAAGAAGCTTCCAACAAGAAAAATGGGAAAGAGGCCTACCAGTAAGTTGTCTCCTAAGAGACAAAGAGGACCTACCACCCGGCCTGTTGTAGGTCCTGAGGATGGAGAGAAGACCACAGCTCCTGATGCTTCAGTGGCACCTCTTACCAAGGCTACTGCGGACACCAGCCAGTGGGATGATCCTGCCTTTAACCCTTTTGCGAGCAGTTCTTCTTTGCAGGATTCTCCCACACTCCCAAAACGTTCCTGTCATCTGGACATGACAGATCCTTTCAAGACGAGCAGCAAGACCTTGTCCACTGTAGGAGCCGATTCTTGTCCTTCCGCAGAGAACAGTCTCAATGAGATCTTGGAGTCGCAAGCCCGAGAGGCTGCGGGGGATGATTTGAAGACAAGCTCGGTCCCTCCGAGCTCCAGGTCACGGCTGATAACGTGAGTGATAAGGGGTCTCAGCAGGGGAGGAAAGAGGAATACTTGAGGCTGGTGAGGATCTAAGTAGGATTTTATCTCCTCCAGGTTGCAAGTAACTTCAACCATTGCAACTTATGGGGCTTGCTCTGAGCGTAAGGTTGTTGTTGTGCACACGGACCAAGTCCTATGTGGGACAACAACCTTGCCCACTTCGTATCATTGTGCTCTATCCCCTCCCAGATATGTGTACGTTCCCCAATCAACAAGCGTTCCCTTCTCTTGACATTCCGTACCAAGCCAAACTCTTTGGGCTGAGGAATTCTGGGAGTTGAAGTCCACAAGTCAGAAAAGGGCCAAGTTTGAAGACCCCTGGTATAGACTATATGGAAAGGGCTGGATTCATCTTCTGCCTCTATAATCAAAACTCCGTGCCCCCAGTTCACTGGTCTGATTTTAAGATTTGCCTAAATTATTCACACTGCACGCTGCATTCAGTTTTGTATGCTTGCAGTTGGGGGGTTGCTAATAAGATGGAGGCCAAGCTACCATATCAGAATCCTAAAGCTTCCAGTCATCTAGCCACTGGCATCTTCTGCAGCCCCGTTTCTGCTTCCTGGGACCTCCTTGGCCTTTGAGCCAAGAGTTTTACAGCCATTAACAAGTGGCTTTGTGCTATTTACAATGAAAGCTGAGGTTCTCGGAGACTTTAATTCCATCTGATGTTTCATGCAGAACTGCGACATTTAGATACGGCTCTTGTAATAAGCTGTGACGCTTCTTTTGAGGTCTCTGCTCCTAGTCCTAAATACGTCAAGTTCTCTTCCTAGCGTATTTCCAGAGGACCAAGAAGCATTTATTCAATAGGATAACACCGTATATATCTGGATCTTTCATGTATATTTTCTCCTTCCCTTCCATCTCTCTCCCTCTGCTTGTCTTTCTTGTCTGTTTATTTCTGGTGCCTCAGGACTTCAGAACAAGTGAAATTTCTCTGTTTTCTGTTGTAAGTAATTTTCTCTCCCCTTTTCTTTTCTTCATTCCTTTTCTGGAAGGTTTTGGTATTCTCTCTCTTTCTCCTCTCTCCTACTCTCAGTTGCATGTTGCTTTTTTCCCCCCCTCGTTTTAAAAAAAATAAATAAATGAGTGTGTTGTCCTTGGCCTCCATTTAAAAGGCACGATTTTAATCTGGCAGCTTTGCTTCCCAGGGGAACAAGTACAGAGAGATGACGATGCTTGCTGTTGATGGCACTGCGATCTTTGATAGCAGTAATAACGTTTGATTTGATCTGATTTGATCTGCTGTTGATGGCATGCTTATTTGCAGTGGATGTTTTTGTGCCTGCAAAATTATCCCGGCTTGTAGTGTGCCCTTGCAGTCTCCCAACTGAGGGTTAATCTCTGGCAACCCAATTTCAGATTGCTGTCAAGAAAATGATATGGATGTGCCCATGAGGTCAAGCTCAATTGTCAAAAAAATTGCAGTGGCTTTTTCAGGATGGGTGGTGATGAATAGAATATAGAATATAGAATATAGAATATAGAATATAGAATATAGAATATAGAATATAGAATAGAACATAGAATAGAATATAGAATAGAATATAGAATAGAATAGACTAAGGAATAGGATAAGGAATGGAATAGAATAGAATAGAATAGAATAGAATAAGGAATAGAATAGAATAAGGAATAGAATAAGGAATAGAATAGAATAGAATAGAATAAGGAATAGAATAAGGAATAGAATAAGGAATAGAATAGAATAGAATAGAATAGAATAGAATAGAATAGAATAAGGAATAGAATAAGGAACAGAATAAGGAATAGAATAGAATAAGGAATAGAATAGAATAGAATAAGGAATAAAATAAGGAATAGAATAGAATAGAATAGAATAGAATAGAATAGAATAGAATAGAATAGAATAGAATAGAATAGAATAGAATAGAATAGGAATTCTTTATTGGCCAAACACAATTCTTTATATGCCACGTGTGAGTGGACACACAAGGAATTTGTCTCTGGTGCATAAGCTCTCGGTGTACATACAAACAACAAAGTAATAGGTTATAGATCATAAATCATAGTTACAATCATTAATCATAAGATACAAACAACAAGGGATAAATCGTAAGATACCAATAGGAGAAGGTAGTAGGAAAGATGAGAAGATGAGAAGGGACGGGAAATGAGAAGATGAGAAGGATAATAGCTATACGGCCTACTACATGGGTAAATATCTTTAGGCATAAGACAGTGTTGTGGAATTAGGTGTTGAGCAGAGGGATGGCATGGGGGGAAAAACTGTCTTTGTGTCTAGTTGTTTTGGCATGCAATGCCCTATCGCTGTGTCCTGAGGGGAGGAATTGAAACAGTTTATGTCCAGGATGTGAGGGGTCTGTAGATACCCAACAACCAATCTTGATCACTCTTCAAAAACTAAGCAGGATCAGATTTGGTTTATTATTAGATAGGACCCTCTAGAACAGACATGTCAAACTCACGACGTCACGTGACGTCGCCCAACATATCAGAGCTTTTTTGCCATTGCCGGCAATGGGGTGGGCGTAGTTTCCCGATGACGCATCCAGCCTGCAGGCCTGCAGTTTGACACCCCTGCTCTAGAAAGTATAGGGCTTCTGGCCTAGACTTGGGAGTGGAGGCTAGAACCCCTATTCCAGAGAAGGCAATAACAAGCATCTCCTCTATTGCTGTTGAAAAAAACCTGCATGGATGTGTTCATGTAACTACCACAAGTCTGGCCTCCAGCTCCTTTAGCTGATCCTCAAGAATTTGCAGGATTGTCAACACCTCTTTAGATGAAACAAAGATCTCTAGATTATCTCCCAGGTGCAACACAAGATTGGGAGATTGGGGGCTCTTGGAACTGGGGGAGAGTCAGCCCATTCTTGTCTCAAGAGCCTGTGTTGCAATCACACGAGTGGGGGGACACTGCAGCAGCTGTAAATGGAAGGACCAGCTGTAAGTCACTTTTGTTTCCCCCAGCAGCGTCATAACTTTGAATGATGGCTAAATAAATGTTCATAAATTGAGAAACTGCCTCTATTCAGTCCTGGGAAAGAGGAAAGGGTGAGAAAAACAAAACCAAACTAACCCTGCTTTGATTTTTTTTTTNGGGGGGGGGGGGGAATGGCTGGTGACTTCCCTTCCCCACTGAACATCAGCAAATTCAGGATTTGCCCTTTATTTTGCTTCAGTTCCCCCCCTCTCTGGCTGTGTGTGTGTGTCTCTTCTCCCTTGCTTGCTCTCCTCTTTCCATGGGAAAACTGCAAAGTCTGACCCTAACGGATGCATCCTTTCTTTTTTACAGGAGTGGCTGCAAGGTGAGAAAGTATGAATCTCATCCCTTGGCCCTGGATGCTTGCTCTCAGGTAAAGGTGTTCAGTTGCTCCCCTTTAGAACATGGCTGTGCTTGTATTGGAGGTGAAGAACCAAAGTATGGTGACTAGTTGTGTGCAGGAGCAGCCAGGAACAAAATTGCCGGCCTCAGAGGTTGGCATCGTAAGTCTTCCCGAAGACGAGATTGGAAGCATCCATCAGTGGCTGGTAGGATGAGTTAGAGAGGCTGGGTTGAAAAACTTAAACCAATTTTCCCAAACTTATTCCTTTATTACCTGAAGCTTCTTATTGGATAGATTTATTCAACTTCAAGGTCTGGTTATTATATGTCCCTTCCTTCAGCACCATTATAACTTTGAATTGTTGCTGAACAAACATGAGGTCATAACATGAGGTCTATCTGAATTGTAAAACAGTATAATTGAATGATAGAACATACTGATTTGGACATTCAATAGTCCTGTGTGATAGGTCTACATCTATATCTGTAGTTATATTGTTTGTTGCAGTCTATGTTATCTTTGCTGGGTTAGATGTTTGAAAACCATTAAAGTAAATTGCAAATTGTTCAAACAGCATTCATTCATTCATTCAATTTTTATTCCACCCACTTCCCCTACAAAGTGAGTCATTAAAGTGAGCATTAAAACTCAACAATCTGAAATGTGGGAAGAGCAAATAATTAAAACAGAGGTTCTTAAACTGAGAGAAATTATCAAAGAGATACTTGGGCATATCCTGGGGGTAATGGAGCAATTTGTAATTTCTTATTTGTGAGTTGAGGATCAAATTTGAGATTGTTGTTGCTGAGATGGTTGCATAAAATAACAGAATCTTGTGTTGTTGTTTGTGGGAATAATGATATTATTGGAGACCAGGAAAAGGGGTAACTGGGTCATATAATTTAAGCCAGTTAAACTTGGTTTAAAAAGATTTTTTTAAAAACCAAGTTTGAAAAGATGGCCAAGTGTTCACCAGCCTTATCGTAGGAGATGACCAGGCTGAATCTGAGGGAGGGGTCAAGCACATCATCAGTCTCAAATCCCTTCGTGCCCACAAGAGATTACGTCCAGCCCACCTTGAATTCTGTTGATTAAATTTCTACACATTTGAACAGCCTTGGTTTCTGATTTCTTGTGCCTGACACTTGTTGGTGTCGTGTATCATGTAAACCAAATTATGGCATTTGCAACAGGAAAAAGAGTGGGGTGGAAACTACATTAAGTCTTCCTTCCAACCCTTGCTGCAGCCAACAGGGGCACCTCCAGATGTGTGAGCTTTAGCTCCACAGAAGTTTCCAGCCCGTATGGCTGTTGCAGAGAATTCTGGGAGTCCCACAGATGGAAGAGTGCTGGGGTTGAGGATGGCTGAGCTTCTGAGATGTAGACTGTCTATGTCAGGGAAGGCAAACCTTTTAGAGACCGAGTGCCCCAAAACTGCCCCAGCCCACCCCC